TACCTTGATAGGAAAAATCATCATATCCTTCAAAGTTTTGCCCTTGATGAAAATAATTATCTTGAAATTGGTAATCTTCATACTCCAAAGGTGGATTTTCGTACCATTGATTGTTATCCTCATAACCTTGCTCATAGTATCCTTGATTTTGATTATTTTGAAAACTTTGTTGTTCATGGTATTAATAGTGATATGGTGGTTGAGAATGAAAGTGCTCATTTGAGTAATCCATGAGGAAATCTCAAGCAAACTCGTGAGAACAAAACAAAAAAGAAGCAGAAAGTCTTCCTAACTTGAACTCACCCATGCTAAAATCAAAATCAAGATCTCACCGTGCCATTCCCCGGCAACGGCGCCATTTGATAACCGCTTACACGAAATTGTAGTAAAACGGAGTCTAACCTTTCGGTTTTTCTCCGAGTGTCGTGTCTCTTGAGGAATGACGGAGGAGTTTCTTGATTTTAAGTCGAGTCACAGGTTATCACAAATTATTGGAAGCTTTCCAAATTAAAACTTTTGATTGATTTTCTAAACAACTTTTAAAAAGGAAAGTAAATTAAATTATGCAAATACTAATGATGGCTCAAAATAAACTAAATGAAAATCATAATATTAAACTTTAAATGGATTGATCAAAGAAAGGCAATGAATTGAATTATAAAATATGGGTACATCCTTTTAGCTTGGACCTAATAATTAGAAGTATTTATAACTAAAGGTTGGACTAGTAATTTGTTTTCTCATTGACAAGATTTAAGTTACTTTCACTAATTTATCCTATTTCTAGGCTTCATTAATGTGTTTAAAATGGTTGGCCTAAATTATATTCTAATCTCATAGACAAGATAGGTATAACTTTCCACATTTTAGCTAACAAAATGGTCAACTTCATTAATTAATTAAATTTATCATATTAAACGATTGAATTTATTCCTCACAGACAAAGATTAAATTCTATCCATTAATTTATCCTATCTTTAGGCTTCATTAATGTGCTCAATATGTTTTGCTTAAACTATTTATAATCTCATAGACAAGTTATAAATAATCTTCCAAAGTTTAATTAATGAAATGACCAAATCTATTAAATAATCAAATTAATCATTTTAAACAACTAGTCCATAACATTAGTTAAACTCCTAATTTTCAGTCAAACAAGGTCAACCCATATTTTTTAATTCAACTCAATCCCAAGAGTAAATTAACTACAACAACTCATTACTAGTTTTAACACTTTACATATAAAATAAGACATGAACATAAATCATAAGAACAAAATAAACTATTAAAGTGAATACTCCCAACATCTCAACTTTTGTTTCTGTCACAAATAAACATCATTTATACTAGGTATTGAGTTTATCTAAGTAGGAGATTAATATAACAACAAGAACTATTTTTCTTGAATAAATATGAAAAATACGAAATTCTTAAAATTTACGCAGAAAATGTTTCACCAACACTTGGAAACTAAAAAAAAAACATATTCAGAATATACACGACGAGAAGATGAATTTTCATATAAAGAAGTTACAAATTGGAGCTAAAATCAGAAAGATATGAAAGATTGAAGTTGAAGGTCCAACAATGGTGGAAATCCGAGCTTTGAGGAGGAAGAATACACCCTTTTTTATCTGAATTAGGTGTGAGATGATGTGTTTTGAGTTGGGGATGGAAGAGAGCTTTTATAGCCGGAGTTTCGTGGAAGGTGGCCAGTAGGGCGGCCGCCCTCCGGCCATGGCCGGCAGCCTTCAGTCACTTCCCCGACAAAGCTACGTGTACGCGTCAAATCCGCCGCAGGCGCCCATGGAGGGTGGCCGCCCTTTTTGGCCGCCTCCCGTCTTGTCTCAGCGACTGGAAGCTCAAAAATCACATCCCGCCGCAGGCTGCCATGGAGGGCGGCCGCCCTCCATCCCTCGTCGGCAGCCTTCCATTATTTTGTCGCCATTCAAAGTGTTGTGTGCTGAAAATGTCAAAAACTCGTAAGTGCCCAGAAAGGCGGCCACCTTATCGACCGTCTTATGTCAAATGGAAAAGATGTCTTCACAAAAGTTGTATATCTCTTTCTTGGCTAACTACTGGAATTTGAATTACATGCACATGATTTGTATTTTATGAGATATGACCAAAATGGTGAGCCCGTGTCACTTTCCATCGCAACTGTAAATGTCTGAATTCTTTGAGGAATATGTCCATTCTACGATTGTTATTTGGTTCTGTGTTCTTCATAAGAGTTGTAGAGAAAGAAGATTTAAATGTAATGCAACTGGTATCACAAACGTTGGGCAATCATGCGCCAAGTTATGATCAAAATACTAACATGTGTCTTTATGCATCATCCATTTTCATTAAAAGTGGCCATATATGCGACCCCTTCTTGGTTTTTGAGCTGCTTTGCATGATTTCTTCATCTCTTGGACTCTTCTCATTGAAATTGGTCATCATATCTTGCAAACTTCTGTACCAATTCATTTGTTGGCAAATAATGTCACTTTCTACACGCAATTGACCCAAATTTTCGTTAGACATGTTATGAATGTGATTTTTACCTGATTTCTTGAAACTTGAACCAAAATATATAAAACATGCCTTGTTTTTTATATTTTCAATCCAAAAATCGTTTAAATTCGATAAGAAAAGTAAGTACAAAAATGGACTTATCAAAAAACTATAGTGACATGTTTCAGTGACGTGCTACAGTGACGTGCACCCAACCATTAACCGCTGTCATCCGGAGATCATCGCCACCCACAGTGACGCCGCTGACGCCGCCACAGTGACGTCCCCATAGTGACACCGCCGACAGCAATAGTGACACCACCACAGTGACCCCGCGGCCGCAACGCTTCATCCAGTGACCACCGCCTAACCCCCTCCCTGCCCCCACCAGCCACAACCCGATTCAGCCCCAATTCCAACCCATGCTCAGACCCCCCCTCCCACTCCTCATCAGCCCCTCCCCCAGCCACAACCAAGCCTCAACCCCCTGCCCCTCGTAACCCAGTATCCAGCCTATCTGTCAGCCATCGCCCACCTGCCCTGAGAGCTTCATCACCGCCGGCAACACTAACAGCCATCAACATTCAGCCCCAACCCCCAATCGTCACTCCCCAACACTAGCCCCCAACCTGTAGCCCACCACCACAAGCATTGTAACCTAGCCGTTGTTCAACCCCAAGCCAACAGCCCTCAGCTCCTAACCTAATTTTTTGACTGCCGTCGTCGATTGCTAGCAATCGCCGCTGCTAGAAGCATGACCACAACTATGGACCTTGGCCACTGCACTGTTCACTTCAGGTTTGAAAAGAATGAATAAGTAGAAGAAGAATAGAAGTGTGCGTCGACTTGGAGGATGAAAGAGGCGACGACGTTGGATTCCGGCAGAGGAGACTACTAGAAGGTGGAGCCGGTACGACCTGGAGGCGATGGAGGTGCGATGGCCAACTGCGGAGGTGGTGAGATGGTTTCAAGGAAGATGGAGGGAGGTTTCAAAGTTTTTCAGAAGTCTGCATGGAACTGGTGCGATGCTCGATTGAGAAGACTGAAGAGCGGTACCGTACAGGGGAATAAATGATCATTTTTTTCTGGAGAAAAATAAAGTAGTACTCCCTCTGTGTCGCAAAGAAGTTCCCATTTTCCCTTTTTAGCAGTCCCAAAAAGAAGTTCCCCTTTCCTTAAATGGGGAAGTTATCTACATCAAAACAATGTCAAACAGTGCAAAACAGTGTCAAACAGTGCCAAACAGTGTTGAAACAATGTCAAAACAGTAAAATTTACCTTCCGGTAAGTTTATTTCCTTAATATGTGTGTAGGTCAAACCGAGAATTTCTTTGCGGGACGAAGGGAGTAATATTTTTGGAATGTGAAACTTTGGGAGTAATATTAGTGCCATTGTTTCATTCATTTAAGTCTTGTCTAATTTGATAAAGTATAATGTTATACGACTTTCGACCCAAAATACTTAGTCAAATTCAAAACTTTGATCAACTATATATATTTATTGAAAATTATTTATAATATAAAAATGATATGAAAATGTTCTTTATTAAAATTACATACATAAAAAGTATAACATTTATAACTTTTACTACGTATAATATTATACTCCCTTCATCCCATAAAAAGATTCCCACTTTAAGATTTGGAGTAGTAATCAAAATCATGTCCAAATTTTAAGATTTGGTTAGGTACTTTGGAATAGAGGTAGTATGTATTTTAATACTCCCTTCATCCCATAAAAAGATTCCCACTTTTCTTCCTTAAATGTTCATATTTCCATTTTAGAAATCAATTAATAATCTTAAATGACAAAATAATCATTAAATTTTAAAAATAATACGTTTATCAACCCTAACCTTATTATATTATATACCTAGTAAAATTATTTTCACAAAATATACTCTAACTATCATAATTAATTATTGTTTAAAAAAACGTACGGTTTTATCATGAAACCTTTCAACGGAACAGAAGTGATAATGTTTAAGTCTCGTCTAATGCGATTTATTTAATGGGAGAACTACCAAATAAGCTCTCGAACTTACTTAAAAAGTGCAAATTACCTCATTTATAGGAGGTTCTGTCCGGTCGTCGCCATTTGGGGCGATTCTCGGTCGAATTGTTTGATGAATTTTTTTTAACATCTTATTCATTAAGTCTAGTTTACTCATACCAAATTGCAGCTAAAACTTCAATCGGGGGGGGGGGGGCAGTGAAATGAATTTTTGAAGATAACCGCGCAGTTAGACAACGCAGTGTATTTCAGAAAATTATTTGACCGCCTTCTCGGTTGCATTTTTAGCTGAAATTTGGTATGAGTAAATTAGACTTAATGAAAAAGATGCTCAAAAAGGGCTGATTTGTACTTTTTATGTAAGTACGAGAGCTTATTTGGTAGTTTCTCCCTTATTTAATTCTAGTCAAAGTGTCAAACAAGACAATATGTGAATGGGCCTGGACAAAAGGAGGTCAGTTTTGTAGCCCGATATGAAACACACCCCCATGAAATATTTATCCCATCGTCTCCAGGACTCTAGCTATCATCATTTCGGCAATCGGAAATTTGTCCGTGTAAAATCTAATTCATTTCCTCCAGTTTTAGGCGTTTTACGCAACTCAGGCGTACTATGGTGGAAGAAAAGAAAAAAAGAGGCCGGAAACCTAAAATTCTGGCAGCTTCCTCTGCCGGTATTGGAGACTCTCTAGTTGCGGTAAATGAGGAAGCATTGTCGGTAAAGATCACCGAGACCACCAACGGTGATTCATCTACGCAACGCCGTGGACGCGGTCGCCCAAGAAAAATAAGTAAACCGAATGAAGACCTCGACAGAGGAATCGCCGCTTCTCCGGAGACACGTGTCCATTCTGCAGCGGGGCAAAACGGAGAAGTCTCGTTATTAAACGGGGACTTGCGACGTCCTTCGGAGCTGGTGGCGGCTGCTGCAGCGAAGGCGGCTCCCTGGATGGACGCCGTCGTGAAAGTTTTCTGTTTCCACACGGAGCCGAATTTTTCTTTGCCTTGGCAAAGAAAGAGGCAGTTCAGTTCGAGCAGCACTGGTTTCATTGTCGGAGGAAGGAGAGTTCTGACGAATGCGCACTCAGTGGAGCATCACACTCAGGTTAAGCTCAAGAAACGCGGGTCTGATAGCAAGTACTTGGCCAATGTGCTAGCTATTGGGACCGAGTGCGATATAGGTGAGTTACATTTTTAGATTCATTTGCTATTGCATATACGATATGTATAGTTAGTGCATGCTAATTTACTAATTACCTTTTGCATTCATGCTAAGCTTAATGTTAAGACTCCAGTATAATGATGAGCTTGCAATTCCATATTTAATTGTCCTATAGAGAAGAATCTTTCTTTGTTAATATTAGGCTATGTCTATGATTGGAATCCAGCAAGTACAAGCGAAAGAAATTCAAATGAATGCATAGAGAAAAACTTGAAGGATTTTTTTTGTTGAATATAGAATAGAAACACTCAAACTAAATGTATCTATTTCAAATATTTTTTCAACTCATTTTATTAATGTATTTTTTAAAGAAGAAATTCCACTTATGATCCTTCGAGTTTTGCACCAATTCCACAATTAGTCCTCGTCTTTCATTTTATCCATTTTTGGTACTTGACTATTGTTTTCTTGACAATATATAGTCCTTTTCCGATAGTAAAAATGCTCAGAAATGGACCACAAATGGTCAAGAAAACAATAGTCAGGTACCAAAAATGGATAAAGTGAAAGACGAAGACTAAATATGGAAATGACACAAAACTCGGAGGACCTAAAGTGGAATTAATTAATTTTTTAAAGGTTAAGATATTTGGTTGCATCTAATGTTTTTATTTTTTAAAATCATATTTTCGTTTCCCTTGGCACTTTTCAAAGTAAAGCTGAACATAAGAAAACAAATTTTCTTAGAATTTATCAGGATCCAACTGTACCTCTTTGGAGTGGAGTCTGTGGAGATGGAATGTAATGAATGTTGTTTTGCATTGAAACAGCATTGTTAGCTGTGAATGATGATGAGTTCTGGGATGGAGTATCCCCAGTAGAGTTTGGAGAGCTACCTGCACTGCAAGATGCTGTAACCGTGGTTGGCTATCCAATAGGAGGAGACACTATATCTGTGACAAGTGGTGTTGTCTCTCGCATTGAGATACTCTCTTATGTTCATGGATCCACTGAACTTCTTGGGCTTCAGGTGTGTTTTTCTCCAAACCTTTTCATCTTTTTGAAAGGATATTTATTATTAAGTAATACGGCGAGCCTGTGTTACAGATTGATGCTGCAATAAACTCTGGAAATTCCGGTGGACCTGCTTTTAACAATAATGGGGAGTGTGTGGGCATTGCTTTTCAATCGCTTAAACACGAAGATGTGGAGAACATTGGTTATGTCATACCAACACCAGTCATTATGCATTTTCTTCAAGATTATGAGAAAAATGGAGCTTACACAGGTAGGTAGATGGGTTTGAATGTGAATCCCTATAACTCCTACAAGTACATATTTTATCTTTCACTGGAGTTAAGTTTCCTCTACATATTTCTTTGTTGTAATTCAACATTCCAGGGTTTCCAGTCTTAGGTATTGAGTGGCAGAGAATGGAGAACCCTGACTTAAGGATGTTAGTTGGTATGTCACCTAATCAGAAGGGTGTCCGTATTCGAAGAGTGGAGCCTACAGCTTCAGGCTCTAATGTGTTAAATCCGTCTGATGTTCTCCTTAGCTTCGACGGGGTTGATATTGCCAATGATGGAACAGGTGAATATCTTTAATACTATCGTACATATTTTCTCCATTTTATTCATTGTTTGCTTCAAAATTCTGGAACCAGTTCAGTGCATTGGACTTTTGAATCTTAAATACATCATTTTTTGAGTTTTATCTTAAATATGTCATTTTAATAATAGGAAGTTCAGGGAAGATATTGAAAATTGGAATCAGATACGAGATTGCCGATAAGATTATGTTGTCATTTGGCAGCCACTTTTTCCAACTTATCATTCTTCTGAACACTATTTTTTACTAAACAATAGTTTGTTTGGTTAAGTGTGCTGAACTGATTAATAATGGAAAATCAGGGTTGAAGATGCATTTTTGGCTGAAGCAGTTAAAGATGACCATTTTAACCTTTTTCCATTTTCTCCATATTATAAATAAAACATAATTTTATGTATTACGTACTAATTTTGCAGTGCAGAAATTTCATCACTTCAGCACTTTCTGCCTAGTTGACCCTTACCAGACTCTTAGTCTCCATTTTTTTTACTATCCTTGCAGTTCCTTTCAGGCATGGAGAGCGCATTGGATTTAGTTATCTAATATCACAAAAATATAAGGGAGATTCTGCTGAAGTCAAAGTTCTCCGAAACTCTAATACACTCGTGTTTAACATTGAACTGGACACACATAAAAAACTAATCCCAGCACACATTAATGGAAGACCTCCATCTTATTACATTGTTGGCGGATTTGTTTTTTGTGCTGTTTCAGCTCCATATCTACACTCAGAGGTGTGCACTTTTTATGGCATAAACCCATTGTTGTCCTTGCATTGAACTAATGACGATTTATTTATGTGCTATTGTGCTCAAATATCACAATGATGCGATTGTACTTTCAGTATGGAAAAGATTATGAGTTTGATGCTCCCATTAAACTGCTGGACAAACTTGCGAATGCAATGGCAGACTCAGTTGATGAGCAAGTTGTCGTTGTCTCTCAGGTTTGTCTTTAAGCTTATCTGTTAAAATATTTAATACTCTGTATATTATTTCTCTACTCTAATTAGAAGTGGTAGTGATTTTAAGGTTCTTTTTAATTTATTTTAGGTGCTTGTTGCTGACATCAATATTGGATACGAAGACATCGTAAATACTCAGGTGCAATTTGAATTATCTGATAAAATCAGAATTTATTATTATAGTACAAGTTTAGAGCTTGATTTACTATTTTTATTATAAACCGTTATGTGATAGTAAGTCGTGAATGGGGGGGGGGGGGGGATGTTATTAATGTGAAAAAAGTGTTATTGAAAACTTGTAACATTAAGTGAAGCTACAGAATGATATATCTAGCCCTCGTCGCCTTCAACCCCCAAAAATGGAAAACACCTGTGTCAGGAACACCCTTGTGATATTAAGTGGTGAATGGGGGTCGTTAATGTACAAAAATGGTTATTAAGAACATTGTAACATTAAGTGAAATTACAGAATGTCATTTCCTAGCCCCCCAAAGGAAAGAGACTTCACTAGATTCTAGCTAATAATAATAATCACTTCTCCTATGTTAAACCTCTGAAATTTGATTCAATTAATGTAGGTCATTGCATTTAATGGCAAGCGAGTGAAGAATCTGAAGAGCTTAGCTAACATGGTGGAGACTTGCGAAGAGGAGTACTTGACATTTGATTTAGATTATGATCAGGTATTCTTTCAATAATCTTGCTTTATATTCTTCTTGTCTGAGTTGTCTCTCATAGTCTCATCTTATGATTGGTATTTAACGTTTGATCTAGGTTGTAGTGCTGAAGACAAACACTGCAAAAGTAGCCACATCAGACATTCTTACAATGCATTGTATACCTTCGGCCATGTCTGATGATCTGAAGACTTAAAAAGCAGGTCAAGAAGTAAACTCTGCTTAGTACAATCCTAATATTGGAAGATATTGTCGCTCTTTTTGCTAGAAAATGTAGTAAATATTTGAACAGAAAGCCAAGGTAGCACACCTGGCACTTACTTCTCTCTTAACACCCTACTTTTTTGCTTCTGAAAATGGCTCTTTCAGTACAGGGCTCAGCTCACAATTTTCAGCTCTTAACAATGCTTTCACTATGCATTAGATATTTTACATTACACAATTTGCCAAACCAGAATTTATCTGTCTGATGAACTGGTTGGCATGTCCTCATGTTTACAACCTTTTAACAAGGGAAATTTTTCAGATGTAGAAGACTCCAAATCAGTAACTTTATGGTAGTCATCCTTTTCCTTAGCTTTGCCCCACATTACAGTATAGAATCCAACAGCTATGATTGCTGATCCAATAATGCTATAAATACAGGAACAAAATGAGTTTAACGAAGTAAATATAATAGTTCTATGAATCGTAAATAGCGCAAAGATAATACCTTCCCAGGTAGAGAGTGTCACCCAAGATGACAACTCCCATGGCCACGGCTATAGCAATTGACAGTGGCTTGAACATTGCTACGTAAACCGGTCCCTTTACTCTTATTGCCCATGTGTGGATGGTATTGTTCACAAATGACCCAAAGATGCCCTGTTCAATAGCATCATAGACAATTTATGGAGTCCAATCTTTAGAAGGTATCTCAGGAACTAGGCATTAACATTTAGGCTTGGGACGTTGGGCATTTCGGATTCGGTTTTTACAATTTTCATATTTATTTACTTTAAAATGGGTGAGAAAAGATTGCCAACCTTAAACCAAGTAAAGTTTGATTTGGTTTAATTTGGGTCTTTCAAATCAAACCAAAATGCCCACCTCTACTAAAATCCACTATTGTATCACTTACAGAGCAGATGATAGAGACTAGAGAGATATCCAGTCTAATCTTCCATTGATTCAGGTCTGGTACCATGAAAGCCCCCACGATTGCAGCAAGTACGCTCACAATTAAGTTGTAGAAGAATACAACAGTTAGTTCTGCTGGGTATACCTTCATGATTTGTGTCTGTACATACGATGAGCCATTAAATTTCCAAATAGCAGTCTACTACAGTTAGAGTGTGTTTGGTCCATGGAATTTTAGGAATCATTAGATTACCTTCAGCTGCCTGGCTAATGGAATGCTCTATTGCTTTTGTTTTTAAATAGATATTAACTTGTAATAATGCTTAAGAAAGCCAAGGCAATCAATCACATTACCTAGCTTTATCTCATTTTTAGCTGTGAAATTGAAGCAGGCAAAGTAATCTCACATAATCCAGGTGTTGGATTATCTTACCTGGACTATGTACCACATTGGGACCAAAAGATACTCTGCTGTAAGAAAAAGTCCGCCCAACATCCAGTTGGATTGCACTGATCCCAGAAACCGAAGGGCATTTGAAGTGGTAGACGGAGAAGTAGTAAATGCGATTCTAGGTCCCTTATAGAGAGTCACTACAAAAGCTCCCGTGACCGACACTATTGTGCCTGCCACTTTGGCCCTGCTAGTTGTGCTTCTAAACACTAGAGTCTCCATCCTACATACAAATAACATGAAAAAAGAATTTGGTTTAAAATTTAAGTGATTTATGGAAAACAAGAAGGCAAGAAGGGGTACGGAAAAGGGGTGGGGATGGAAGATATATAATAAGAACCTGAAAAAAAGAGCAAGAATAAATGTGAAGGCAGGGACAAGGTTGCTGATGGCAGAAGCTAGAGTTGGAGAGCTGAGGCTGATTCCTGCATACCCCATGATCTGTGATGCGCATCTGCTCTTCCCCAGTAAAATAAATAAATAAAGATTAAAATTAGTTATTTTCCATTAGAAATGAGACGCTTACTAGCACAAAGGTAGCTTTAGTGGACTGCCCGATCGTATACATGGTTGTGACTTGCGGGCCCACCAAAATATAGACATAAGTCTGAGTTCATACCCTATGATGCCAAGCATGAGAATCTTAAAGGTGATGGAGCAGTTCAGCGGAGGAAGCACTTTTGATCTGCATCATCCAAACCAGACGTAGTATTGTTGCTGTCTAATTATATACAATATACATAGAAGTGTTTTTTGCACGCTATAAAGTGTATATAGACCTGGTGGAGAAGAAGGGAGAGGGGAGGAGACAGATAGCGGCGACGGCATAAGCGTAGACGATGAAGACGTAGTTGCTCATGCCTTGGTTTGTGGCGGCTTTGAACAGCGTGTTTAGCCCTACATTAATGCATTCCATGAGTACCAAAGCCACAAAGGGCAACACCTCGTTGTAGAACATCGCCGCAACCATTTCGGTTTGGTTTGCTGTTTTCTCCAGTCCTCTGGATTGGTATTCTTTAGTTCAGAGGTTTTAGCTCACAGCCCAAAGGCCCTCCCTAGAGTCTTATCGAATTGAAAGTATGTGCCTCATATTATTTACCCCTTTTAAAGCATCAACCAGTCATATTATGTTGCGCACCAGTACAGAATTGGGGTTATTGTACTTCTGCTACCAGGTTCAATTATGTTTTTATCACTTATCTCATACTCTTATTTATGTTTTGCCCCATGTACAGTTTCTTCTTGCATAATAGTCCCTGTGATGTGCATATTTTTCTCGTTTCGTCTCTAATGTTCATATTTGTTCTTAAATGCTACCTCAACAACTACCCGGATATAAAAGCATATCCGGGTAACTCATTGGAATTGGACAAGGTTCAATGAATTGACCCGTGTATTCTTAATATTCGAGGGGCCATCAAAAGGTCCGATCGGCCGATTCTTTAATGCTAGTTGAATTGAATTGCCGTTTGAACTTTGAACTACCTTTGCAGCAGTTAAAGAGAGTAGTAGCTCAACGATAGAGACCAGATAATAAAAATCTAAGGAGTATTTTATAGGGTTATTTGAAAAAATGTAGGGACTAGTTTTATAATAAGTGTAAGTTGAGGAGTACAAGGGTTAAAACTTAAAAAGATATTATATGAGTGTGCTATGTCATCATTCCTACTATAACGACTGACGTGACACTATTTTTGTCGCTGCAAATATTATCATCTTTAATTGTTTTGCCAATCCTGGTTCTCTGCTTCGTTCCTAATCTTGAGGAAGTTTTCCATGCGACAAATTGATTGTTATGAACTTATGATTTGTGCTTGAAGCCATGGATGAATTAAAATGTTATTATCTTCGATGATAATAATCACTATTCTTAATTAAATGGTTGATAATATAGTGAACTGATTGAGGTGCGTTTTATTTATTTATTGTATTAGTGTCACATTTCCCTTTTGGAACGACATATGTAGTTCACGACATTTCACTTTATTATATTCAAATTCTAATTACAATTTTTACCTTTTCAATTACTTAATTAAAAATTATGTCAAAATCAAATGAGACACATAAAATGGGAGGGAGACAATATTAGAGACAGTATCAATCAACTTTTTCATCAAACACATATGTTTTGCTTTCGCGCGCTGAATTGTGTAATAAGCAGAAAAAGTAAGGTTGGAGTTACTTTTCTGGCTGTATTGACTGAAAGTATTGTAGATGACTATTTTAGTTATTTTTACATATAATTTTTTCTTTATTTTATTAATAAAAAAAAATTGAACTTTTTTTCCCTTAAATCACCAGAATCAGCCACTTCAACCAGAATTTCATAATTTCCAGCAGAAGCAGTCGATTTTCGTGCTCTTAGTTTTTGGTAATACTGAGTAATATTATAGATAAATCCGGCAGCTAAATATAAAGGGGCAAACAATTCCGTATCAAACAGTTCATCTCTATCATGCGTCGCCATCGAGTCTGTGGATTGTGTATTTGTGTATAATGAGTGGAGTGGAAGACGCCAATGTCCTTAATTATTGGAAGAAAGGTGTCGTGTGGTGGTAAACGACATCTACAAAATAACTCTGATATTCGGTATCGAAAGGGAATAGGTGTATGCATAATGGAAAAAGATGTAAATAAGATCATATTGATTATTCGAGTATGATATAAGGATTCTAACGATCACATTAATATAGGCGATTTTTAACAATGGACCAAAGTTCGAATCCCCGCAGCGACCGAGTGGAGGTCACAAAACCTGAAATAAGGCTGGGTCTCTGATGCGCACGGGTGTATGGACCTACTGACATTGTGCTGACTGAATCATCGTGACTAACCTCCCCACCATCCTGTCGGATCGGGGTGGGGGGTCCTGGGGTGGGAATTCTACCTTTTTTGTAACAATATAGGCGATTTTTTATGAAAAAAGCTTATAGTGATCATATTGATCATTGACGCTTTATTTTTTGTATGAGGCTTGGTTTGAAAGAATAATTCAAAGATAAAAGTTATTGAAAATGATGTATTTGGTGAATGAAATTAGTTTGTTTGACTTCACCGTTGAAATGTTGGTCGAAAAGTGTGACGTTCAAATTTAATGCAATTACACTTTTTCATCCAAATATAATAACATGTTAACTAATTGTGTACATTGATCAAATTTAGTCACGCAAAATGAACCATTTTGAGCTGAAGTGCTCTTCAGTGTTATACATGATGTGCATATGAACTTTATTGGTCATAAAAGGTTGAAATACAGAATTGCACAGACCATTATAGACTTATTGTTGCTTCTTTTATTAAAGTTGCTTCTTGCTCGTAGTTAAATTCTCCTTGCTCGTAGTTAAATCAGTTTTGATAATTAAAATTTACATATTCAAAAATCACATTGAAAGTTCTATATATTATTACCTCCGTTCCAAATTGATTTGCAAATTTGAGTTTTCTTGGTCAAACAGTTTCATTTTGTTCACTTAATTATGATGTCAATTTTTAATTATATTCTAATTTGGAGTTTACAATTTTGAATACATTTTGATGTAGTTTATGAATATGTAAATTTTAATTATTAAAAATTGAATCAATTATGCATAGGGAGGATCGACTTTTATTATTGGTTGACCAAAAAATGTTAACTTTGCAAAACAAATTGGGACGGAGGGAATAAATCACAAAATTCATAATACAATATACTCCTATTCATTTTACATAGCATAAAATTGATATCCTAAATAAATAAATAAATAAAAACAAATCATGTAGAACATGAAGAGTAGGCTTTGCAAATTATTTTGGGACAAGGGAACTAACAATTATATATATACACACACACACATAGCTTTACAAAAATTGCTCTAAATAGGAGTAAAAACATTTGTAAATTTCAAAATAATACTATCATGCTTTTTATTATCTAAATAAGAACACCCATATCCCGTTTGGTGACCTTGTTTTTCAGCTTATCAGGTTTATCAGCTAACTTTGCACCAAACACGTTACTTTTGATTTCGCGCGCTGAATTATGTAATAATAAAAAAGGTAATGTTAGAGTTACTGTTCTGGTTTTATCTACTGAAGTTACTGTAGATGATCATTTTATTTATCTTATTAATAAAATATATTTAAATATAATTTTTTCATAAATTTTAGTAGAATCAACCGATTTCATTGTTACCAAACGTCTTTTACTGTCATGTTTTGACATTACAAGAATTTAATTATGACAATATTTACTACGTAGTATTTACCAAATTTGATAGAATTTAAAAATATGACATTCTATTTTGAAATTCTAAAATGTTTTTACTTCTATTTCTGAATTCTCCAAACAATGAGATTTATTGCTCAAACATGTCACGTTGATCATTACGGCTTTGTAATTTTTCTTTAGTTCTGGGTGTCGGAATTGTACTTCGCTGAGGTTAGTTTGGGTGTACACTCAAAATTACACATGTGCATTATACTCCATCCGTATCTAAATAATTGCAACACTTTACTTTTTTGTCAGTTTCAAATTAATTGCGACACTTCTTTTTTTAGAACACAAAAATGAATACAATGTCTTTAATGCCCTTAATTAATTTACACACACTTGTACACACTTTGTACACACTTGCTCATCCTTATGAATTTTTTGAGTCCAAATGCTTAAATGAGTTTAATATTGAAAGCAATACGGTTTCGGACAAAAAATTGTACTTGCATTAACTTGTTTAAGTGATACTGCCAAGTATAAATGTTACAATAATTACAAAGTTTGAGCATTACGTGATCTGAAAATATTTCACAAAAGGATTTTGCTTATTAGTGATTATTGAACAATAAAACAATCAGTGAAATGGGTAATACTAACACAATTGGTGATTATTGAACACAACATTTATCAATAACATACTCAAAAGTGAATGGATTATATTACTCCTTCCTTCCGTCCCATTTAAATCTTTACGTTTTCTTTTTTGGGACGTCCCATTTACTCCTTTACATTTCCTTTTTAGGCAACTCATTTTACATTAAATGTCTTAACTACCCTTCACTACCCACCCACTTTTTATATTTGAGTGGATAACATTAATTCCCTCCAAAAGTCAAAGGGCATGCAAGACATTTGTTCTTCAATTAATTGAGCTCCTAAAATAACGTGCCAAAAACAAACGTCAAGTTTTATCCCGGAGGGAGGGAGTAGTTTGTTAATGAGCATCGAATAATTGGACGACTATGAAATAGTACAAGGATCACAATTCCTTGGCGTAGTTCTTTAAATGAGTGGCTTTGACATTATTTGAAGTTATTTGGACTTGTATAGAGATGTATAATTCATTGAACATCTTATAAATTTAAGTTGGATGTAACATCACTACAATAATTTAATCAGTCTTTAATTAAATACGGGAGTTAATTCCCTGAGATCCTTGCAATTATTGCAGTTTGCCTCACCACATCTTTTGAGCTTTATTTGTCTTATTACAGAGTTAGTGTCAAATTCTTATGTCTTTTACGTAATAGTTCTAATCAACTCAGCTCCTCTCGGAGTATGACATCTCATTTGTTTGACACGTCTATTAAAGAAATCCAAAATATTTACACCCGCCCATCAATACACATATGCATTGTGTTCGTTTAGGTGAGTGGTGAGAAAGTTGAAAAATTAATCAAGGATCGAACAACAATGGTCGTGTGAATGTTATAACTCTCGTGTTCTGGGCTGAACCTCTGATGTACACGGATACAAGGTTCACCATCATTAGGCTGACTCAGTCACTTGACTTTCATCTGTAAGATTAAATTCCAATATCGGCATCATATAATTATTATATACATAATCATATAGATCGAGATTTAGGAATACTTGAATCCATGATAGATGAATGAATTAGAATAAATCTCTTATCCTCTTTGGCCCCTTTTCTTAAGATTCTTAACACAGTATAATCTTTCTATTATTAATATATAACTTCAATTACATGACCAATATTAGAATATTAATTAGTTAACTAAATATTCTAACAACATCCTCTCAAATGCCTTGTTGAATTGGCCGTGAGGGCCCCTTGAGGTTGGCTATTCAACTAAATATTCTAACATCCTCTCAAATGTCTTGTTGAATTGGAACATGTATTGTGTTGTGCAAATAAAAAGTGTGGTTGTGAAAAGTGCGAATAACAACACTCATTTTCAATGAAGGAAGCTTTTTATTTATTTATGACAATACTCACATTATTTATATATAATTAATTTAATGACTAATATATTTAGATCCATTAGATCAGATATATTCTCTCTTTTTATTCACACGCGTATATTTGTGTTATAAAGATATACAAGTATACAACTCATGTCTTTGGAATTTTTAAAAGCAAGTGAATAACATTTATCCATTCTGCCATCAATGTTCATTATTTATGAGTATGTTATAATTTGTATATTTATATTTATAAAAAATACATAAGGGGTTTGTCCTCAAATAATACTAATTAAAACCATTTGGATAAAAAAAGAGACTTTTCTTTTAAGTTCCAAAAAAAGACTGAATAATACTTAAGGGACTGTTACTGTAACACCCCGATCCGTAGGACCCGATGTAATTACTCTAACACACCCTCAAGACCTCTAGTACTGTCCTCACAAACCGCCACTAGCCTTTTCCGCGCACTTTGTCCTCACTCATGCGCGCCCTGAGAAACATGCCAGTGGGTCACTCATCCCAAGACTGCTCCCGTGCAAGCACACTTAACTTTGGAGTTCTTGGCTAATGAGCTCCCTTAAAAGGAGATGCACCTTGTTGGTATGAGTAGTACTATTAATCCTCTTAAATTAATCTCGGGTATTACAATCACCCCCACTTAGGAACGCAACGTCCTCGTTGCGCCCATAAACCAATCTCAATCATATCCTAGAATCTTTTCCCCTGCTAAGTGCCCGCCCGATATCTAACGGATCATCACACTGTCGCAGGGTTGCTCTGATACCATTTGTAACACCCCGATCCGTAGGACCCGATGTAATTACTCTAACACACCTTCAAGACCTCTAGTACTGTCCTCACAAACCGCCACTAGCCTTTTCCGCGCACTTTGTTCTCACTCATGCGCGCCCTGAGAAACATGCCAGGGGGTCACCCATCCCAAGACTGCTCCCGTGCAAGCACACTTAACTTTGGAGTTCTTGGCTAATGAGCTCCCTTAAAAGGAGATGCACCTTGTTGGTATGAGTAGTACTATTAATCCTCTTAAATTAATCTCGGGTATTACAGTTACACCCTTACTCAGCCCAAACCCAATGGCCTGCTACAGTGACCTGTCACAGTGACCAAATGTGCAGTAACCAGTGTTACAGTTACCAATGGCATAGTTACAAAATTCATCCAGTGACAAAAAATTAATACGTCCCACCAATGACCCGCATCACAGTGACCAAATGTGCAATGACTTTTGTCCAGTGACCAATTGACACAATGACTTCCGTCCAGTGACCAACTTCCACCCGTTCAGTAACTAACGTCTACCCATTCAATGACCATCATTGCCCGTCCAGTGACATAATTTTCAACCATCTCCTCCGCCCCCAATAAGTCATTGCCGACTCCCCGGTCAGTAACTACCGTGGCCCCGTTCATGTAGTCACCGTCCCTACCCCAAACCAGTGACCGCCCCCACCCCGCTAGTCAGTGCCACAAATAGTGACTCCAGTGACCAACAATGAAAATTGTGTCCCTACCATAGTGACACGATTACATGTAACTCCTGTCATAGTGACACGGTTACTCCGGCCACAGTGACACGACTACTCCGGCCGCAGTGCACAACTAATCCGGCCACAGTGACACCGCCGGTGTGACACAATTTAGACATAACAGTTAAATGTTTGAAATCATCATAGGAGAAATTACCATAGGGTTGGCCAGTTCCAAATCTCGATATTTGAGTTTGCTTCCCTTTGCCTTTTAATTTCGCATACTCCACGGGCCGATGACTCTTAATATGTCTATCGGCGCAGTCGTATCCTTGTGAAATCCCCAAGCTAATATTTTTTTACAATGTTTGAGAGCTGACCACCACTTCTCGGTTTGGGGGTCCTTCCACTTATTAAAATAATTTTTCATAAGTAGAGATTCACCTTTCTTATCGGGTTGGGATGAACCAGTCTCGTCCTCGTTGGGAGTTGTATCGTCAGGGGTTCCATGACTTCCATCATCGGGGGTCCCATCATCGGGGGTTCCATAGTCGCCTTATCCTCTTCGACGTCGTCATTCTCGAGCTCCTCATCTTTCTCAGGAATGTTTTGTTATTGGTGAAATTGCCCATGTTCTTGGTTCAACAGATGAGCCAGTTGCTCATCGGACATCGCATCTCTCCGGTTGTAAGTCGTGTCAAAATCATCTCGGATTTGAGAAGAAAACCCGACATGTCCTTTACATTTGCCTCGCGAATTAGGATGATTCTTCCCAATATTCTACTTCGCTTGCATCGGAGGTTACCCATATATACAGAATGTCTACCTCGTTCTATCTTAAAATGTAACAAATATTAAATTCTAACAAATATTTTAATGTGACTGCAAATACAATGCAACTAAAATATTACTTTATGTAACAAGTGTAGTAAAATTAACGAATATTCCAATTAGTTTAATAGTTTAAATAACTAAAATTCGAACTACTTTTACATTTTAATCAAACAAGTGTAGTTTAATTAACTAAAATTCCAACTAGTTTAATAGTTTAATAATTTAATCTAACAAGTGTAGTAAAATTAACTAAAATTCCAACTAGTTTAATAGTTTAATTAAATAAAGTTCAAACTACTTTTATATTTTAATCTAACAAGTGTAGTAAAATTAACTAAAATTCCAACTAGTTTAATAGTTTAATTAACTAAAATTCGAACTACTTTTATAATTTAATCTAACAAGTTTAGTAAAATTAACAAAATTCCAACTAGTTTAGTAGTTTAATCTAACAAGTGTCGTAAAATCAACTAAAAATGCAACTACTTTTATATTTAATCTAACAAATTTTATATGATTAATATTAATTAGTATGTAACAAATATGGTTAACTAATATGATAATGTGACAAGTATATTAAAATCAACTAAAAATGCAATTAATATTAGTATGTAACAAATGAGAATATAACAAATATTAAAGGTGACCAAATGAGAAATGTAACAATTAACAAATATTAATGAAAAATGTAACTAATAGGAAAAATGTATGAGTGTGTACTAATTGATGGGAGTGTGAGTGTGTAAATAATAGCATAAATTTAACTAATAGTATTAATGAAAGTGTAACTAATATATAATATAATGTTACTAGTATATAATATATAACTATACTGCTATAACATGAGTAGTACACTTATATTTAATACTTTAATATGTATACTTAATATATTAATTAGATGCAATATATGTAAATTTAAGTAGATAACAAATATATAATAAGTAGATATTAATTAGATAATAAATACTCCCTCCGTCCCGTAAACAACTTCATACTTCGTTTTCACCATATTAAGGAAATAAACTTACTAGGGGATAAATTTTACTATTTTAACAATGTTTGAACATTGTTTGGATACTGCTTGGCACTGTTTGGATATAGAGAATCTGTCAAATAAAGAAGTGGGAAAAAGTGTTAAGTTAATTTCTGGAGTGCCCGAAAAGGAAAGTGTGAAGTTCTTTACGGGACGGAGGGAGTATATATCAAGTAGATACTAAATATAAGTAGATATAATATATGTAATTATAAGTAGATAATAAGTATATAAGTAGATAAAATATTTGTATAACTAATTTAAATAGATATGATATATATATACACACACACACACACACATATATATATATATATATATATATATATATATATATATATATATATATATATATTAATAGGTGTAGAGAGATGGAAGAAGATGAAGGGAGATAATTAGAGAATATTAGAAAGTATGGAGGATTGGAGAATAGATGTAGGAAAATGTTAAGAAAATAGGAGTATTTAATCATTTATAGATTTTTTTTACCCCCACCCCTAGACCCCCTCCAACGACTCTAGAGCCGTTTGACAACGATCACAAGGTTGCAAAGCCTTTCAAACCATTCTTTTTTTAAAATAGCCATTATGCCCGGACCGGTCACGGACCAACCGGGCCAGTCAGCGTTTTTGAAGACCCATAGTCCTCCCGCCATTTACCCAATTCGCGCCCCCAGTCCCGATCCCAGTACCGCCCGGAGGGCCGGGTCCCGGGTCAAGCCGGGTCCCAAGTCAGGCCGGGTCCCGACGACCCATCTCAGTCCATCTCTAGTCTGATATGAGACTGAAAACAGTCCAAGTAAAAACATCCTAATACAATCCAAGTTACTAATAAAGTTTGTGTACACAGACACACATACATATATATACTTCATTAAAACTTGATTTCATCCAATATTTTGATTTGGTTATTCAAAGCAGGTTTTTTGGCAGCATAAAATATTGTTGTGAACATTATAGATGTAGCCAAATCTTCAAGTGGGTAATAGGCACACTACACTGGTGGCAGCGGTCCAAGAATCCAAATTTTGATACCAAACAGAAAGAACACATACAGTCGAATACAGTAATTTTTCTGATCCCTGAGAAGTCAATGAATAAGACCAAAAAACGAAACACAGAAGGAAATCCTGAGATGCTGCAAATCAAGCCATTATCTTAGTAGATCTTAGGAAAAGACTGTCAACAACCTTTCCCATGTTTGAGACTGTGTCCAGCGTAGCCTGATAAATTGCATCTGTCTTGGGATCGTCAAAGATGACGAGGCATCCAGCACCCTGGTCAAGGGTTCCAGCAAACTTCTTATCCAAAATCATCTGAGACAGCTTCTTCTCAACATGTTCCCCAGGCAACTCAATAAGCTCGGCAACATGCCCTATCTCAACCTTGGAGAACGGCTCAATCAACCTGCAAAGGTTTTGCTCCAGGAGAGTGTCATAAAGTGAGGACAGGTGACGGTGGACGATTGGGTCCTCATCCAGCTGTGACTTGAAATTCCTAAGAGCATCCTCGAAAAGCTTCAAAGACCGCTTTGAGTGGGCTTCAGCAACTGCTTTCATGGCATCTAGTTCTGGTCCCTGATACTGCAACCCAACCTTAGGTGATGATATTATGCTTGCGACGTCATCCGCCTGGCCCACCATAATCTTGCATAGCAACATGTACTTTAGGCTGAATATTGCTTGTGGGTCCTCCAGAGCATTAAAAGCCTCAAATGCTTCGTAGAAATAGCTGTATGCCGTTTTATAATCTTTTTCCTCAGCGTGGAGAATCCCGCTCTGCAGATCGATGCAACCCTGCTGACCTGGAGGCACGTATATAGCGTTGGCTGCAGTCCGAGCAGCAGTAAGCGCAGCCTTTGCTTTTGCGAGGTTTCTCAATGCGAAATGAAGTTTGCTCTCTAGCAAGTCAATCTCCACAAGCAAAAGCTTGTCATCCAATCTCCTCACCTCTTTGATGAGACCTGAAAGGAGAGTCAACGCCTCAGCATACTCTTTGCTTTCCATCAAGAGTGAAGCAAGTTTGGCTTCAATTCTTTGGCGAAGAAAAGTCCGTTTCTCATCACGGGTCCACTGAACTATGTCTTTGCAAAGGGTGATCTGAAGGTCAGAAGTGCCGGGTATTTTCGCCAATGTATCAACTATGCTTCTGACAATTTTAGCAGTTTTTGCCTTGGGTATCAAGGAAAAGAAGGGCCGTAATTGGGTAAGAAGGTTTTTGAGATCATCAGCCCTGTTTTCCTGTCTAAGGAGGTCAGATAGATTAGCTATTGCTTGTTCCTTTATCCTTAGAGCGTCGGAAGAGGATGAAGGGCTGTTAAGGATATTGTGAAGGATAGAGAGAGACTCGGATGGAGTTTTTGCCTCTGAAGCCAGAACAAGTGAGTCTGTTGTTGCAGGGAGGAAGGATGAAGCCATGGTTGTCAGCACTGAATGATTTGTATTATGATAAGTCCTGCAGTCAAAACTAAGAACACTCTTTAAGGGACAATGCAGCATGTACCACAATAGGCTAATAGAAAAAATCATTAGTGAAGATCACAGTAATATCTTAAGTTAAGGCAGGTATTGTAGTTTGTTCAAAAGATACCCTCTTCAACCAGTCTATTTCAACATAATAGTGTTGGCTATTAAACGAACAAAACTATGAGCAATACATTTTGTTTTTTGATTTGTACTTCAATATTTTGACTGACAGACATTGTTATTATGTTTGGAGTTATCTATTGCACATATGGAGAACTTGAAATATTCGGTACCCAACCATTTAACATTAAAACGAGATATTAGGTATTGCATTGTAGCCAACAGCCACAATACGTTTCCTAATATCTGTTTTTGAGGCATTTCAAAAAGGCCATAACAAGCTCCAGCAATGAACTAATGAGTTTTCATATATCATGTTCACATATCTAACCTTCCCAACAATGCAGCCCAATGATTCATATTTTTTAAAATGAAGAGAACCAGTTATAGTACTAAACTACAAATACCCCGCAATAAAACAAAAAACAAGAAGCAAGTCTACAGTAGATCATTCGACACCATAAAACGCCATTAACAATATTGCTATGGATTGAGTCATATTTATCTGGATCACCATCCAAACAACTTCACCATCACATTAAGGGGGGTGTATTCAATCGAGACTTTCATAGACATTTTTGGACTATGGGATTTTAGGAGACATTTGAGACATTTATGGATTTGTCTAGATTTGTTTGGATTTGGACATGAGACATATTAAGACATTTTTGATTGATATTTATGTGTTAAAAAGTGAGAATGAAATAACCAGTCCATCTTTTTCCCATCCTGTGCTCTAAAATGTCATCAAAAAGAGAAATGAAAATAAGGGGGGAAATGCATTTTTATTTACGCAAATGGCAAATGGCAACCCCACACCCTATTGATTCAAACACATTTAGTATTCAAGTTTCAGGGAGAGCATGAATGTTTTTCAAGATAGCCCAAGATGAACTGACAATATACATCTTGAAGAGGGGCGTGGGCATCAATATTCAAAGATTAGAAACCTCGGGCTTTCAAAAAGGACCTTGATTAAGCCAGAAAATAAAGAAATGAACGACCGAACTGCCCAACATAACGATGAGGATCAAATAAATGACATTGGCAACATATGTGATGGCGGAACTCCAAAAAACAGAACTAAGCAAATGGCATTTTTTCCATCTCTTTACACCAGGAAAATGGCAACCCTTACTGAGCTTATAATTTTATTAAGCCACAACTCATTCATTAACAACAAAACTGATTTTTTCATTTCTGATCTTTTGGGAATTTTATCAAACACTTTGGAGGCAGAACATTTCAATACTTCCATGAACATTTAAAATATGGTTCATTCAAACCAAGAATCAGTAATCTGAGCAGTGCTAATGACATAGGTTATACCATTGGGAAAGGGAATCCCTCATTCAAGAAAAAGCTAGGCATTTAACAAAGAGGAACAAAAAAAGGCAGACATTCGTTTATAAAGAAAACAAAATGGCAAATATTTGACTTTGTGGAATGAAGAAAAACAATGGTAATCGGAAACGCAAGAGGGTGAAGAACATTGTTTACCTCTGTGGATTGGTTTGCAGATGCCTTCTTCACTTCCGAAGGTGTGAGATTGCCTTCGTGCTTGGCTGGAAGAAATCTCAGGTAAATCTCACGTAGAGGTGTGAGATTTGGGTAATAGGAATTTTTTTTAATTATTTGGGCTTCAAAATTTGGATATGTCCAAATCCTGTCTTTATGTCCAAAAGGAATACACCTAGACATTTGGGGAGTCTTAAAATGTCTCTGTTAAATACATTCAGATTTGTCAAATCCTAAAATGTATTGAAAAGTCTTGAATGAATACACCCCCTAAGTTAATAATATCATTCTTATTAGTTTTATTTTCAATCAAGTATACTAGGCACAAGTATCCCGTAAGTCCTTATATGGTATCAGCTCATGTTCTCCACTAGGAGTGGGCACGATTGGTTAACCGCGTTTCGGTTAACCGATCTTTGGTTAACCGTGTTTTCGGTTAGAATGTTTATAATAACATTAACCATACCACATCATCAGTTAACCGGAGAACATTAAACCGTAATATAGGTTAACCATTAGTTGGTTAACCGAAAAAAAATTTGCTCATTCAATTTACGACCTTAAGCTTATACGAGTATGAATATTCGTTTCTTGTATGAAACTGGTTTCTATATTGAATATGATTATATGAAGCACATTGTGTTTCTAATAAAGGCAACATGAGTGTTTGGCACACATGTATATGCAGTGGTGTGTAATAATGCAATGATAATAATACAAATGTATACGTATCTCCTAATTATACCACATACAGAGTATAAAACTCAATACACTAAGGACACATTTACTTCACGGGTTAGTAAACGGTGCTTATTAAGACTCGCGTTAATAAGCGACGCATAAAATAAGCAGTGTTGTAAGCTCATGTTTACTTCAAATGATTTAAAACACCGTTTAACATTAAAATGTCCAAAATAACCATATAGATATACACACAAACATTTATGAACACAAATATATAATATAATATGTGGGGTCACCTCGTACGCTTAGTCGCTTACCCACACCCCTAACCCCTACCCCGCCATGTACACCCACCCCACACCCTACCCCCAATTCCGCACCCTTAACTCCCACCCCTTCCCTACCCCTACCCTTACCAGGTGGTGGAGGGCAGGGTCGGGGTAGGGGTGGGGGCCGGGGTGGGTGGGGTGGGGTTGAGGTAAGGGCAGAGGGTTAGGGTGGGGGTCAGGGTAGGGAAGGGGTGGGGTCGAGGTAAGGAGTGAGGGTGGGGTAGCGCAGGTGGTGGAGGGTAGGGTCGGGGTAGGGGTGGGGGTGGGGGTGGGGTCGAGGTAGGGTTAGGGGGTTAGGGTGGTGGTTGTGGTAGGGAAGGGGGTGGGGTCGAGGTAGGGGCAGGGGTTAGGGGGTTAGGGTCGGGGGTAGGGGCAGGGGGGTAGGGGGTTAGGGTCGGGGTAGGGGAGGGGGTGGGGTCAGGGTCGGGGTTGAGTCAAGGTAGGGGAAGGTGGTAGGGGGTAAAGGGGTGAGGGTAGGGTAGGTGGTGGAGCCGTGGAGGGTAGGGTAGGGGTGGGGGTGGGGTATGGTCGGGTCAAGGGTGGGTATGATCGGGTCAAGGGTGGGGGTTGGGGTAGGGAAGGGGGTGGAGTCGAGGTAGGGGCATGGGTTTGGGTCGGGGTAGGGAAGAGAACGGGGGTAAGGGTGGGGTCGGGGTCAGGTCAAAGTAGGGGAAGGTGGTAGGGGGTAAAGGGGTAGGGTAAGGGGTGAGGGTGGGGGTGCAGTAGGGCAGGTGGTGGAGGGTAGGGGTAAGTAAGGTGGGGGTTGGGTATGGTTGGGTCAAGGGTGGGGTCGGGGTTAGGGTTGGGTTGGGGTCGGGGGTGGGGTCGATGTAAGGTAGGGTAGGGCGGGGTAGTGGGGTAGCAATAGGGTAAGGGCAAAGGGTTAAGGTAAGGGTAAATTCGGAAACTGAAAAAACTTAAAGTGCCGCTTAATTAATACATGGGGGGGTGGTATGCTTAGTAAGCGGGACTTTAAGAACCTCTTTCGGTTAGTAAGCAGTGTCTTAAGCAACTTGCGTGTTTACTTCACCTGTCTTACTAACCTAACTGTGACATTAGCAGCGAAGTAAACGCCGCCTAAATGTTTCCGGTAGACTGTACACACGCAATATGTTTAGTGTGACATGTGTTTACTAGTAATAATATGTTAACGGTGGATTACCGGTTAACTGACGGTAAAAATATTTCAAAACCGTAACCATCCCATGTACCGTTTTCGCTTTCGATTGGTTAACCGTACCGCAAAATTTTCTAAAACACGGTATGGTTAATCGAAAAAACACCGATTTTATGGTATTTTAGTACGGTTAATCGGTTACGGTTTTTTATGCCCACCCCTATTCTCCACAAATTGAACTGAACTGTTCACTTTTCTCGCTAGGTCAAGTGCTAGCAAAAAACAAATATCTTAAAGTGATACTGCTAATATTATACGTAGTACATATTATTGTGCAGTTGTTTTAATTCATATGAAAACCTACCGATCCGGAGATTTCGCTACTCGATATCATCAAAGAAGAATGGAAAATGAAATCAATACCAGACCTTTGGGTTTTAGGATAGATTGGTATGAAACATAAACATGCACTTGATGAATAAATTCATATGAAAACCTACTGATCTGAGATTTCGCTGCTGAACCGATGAAAGATCTTTGGTACTTTGCGTCTTTCGGTCGTAGATCGACAAGCGTGTTCAATTGTAGATGATCTGTTTATTTAATTAGCCATGGAAGCGGGTATAAAATCTCTGCCAGTTGGGTAGGTTTATATGTTGGGTTGTTTATTGGGCCATGTAGTGGGTCAAAATGTACTGAACAAAACTATGGATATAAGGTAACCCCCCCATCCCGAATTGAAGTGCAAATTTTGACCGGCACAAGGATTAAGGAAGTGTAGAAATAAAAGTTGGCTTTACCATTTTACCCTTACTACCAAAAGAAAGAAAAATTTAGTGTTGCGTGAAAACTGAAACATCAGGAAAAATAAAGTACAATTGCTACAGGAGGCCCAATTCTTCGCCCTCTCGGTACCCCAGCAGGCCCTTTCTGTCACTCCGTTGCAACTTGATGCGGAATCCAGAATCCAGCAAGAAGGCCCTCTTGGAGAAACGGCTGAAGCGTGATGCAGCCAGAGTCCCCTCTTACCACGAATAGTGCCACCGTCGACGGCCAGTTCAGCCGTCTCGAAGCCAACTTGAGTAGCTCTGTCATCTCCGGGCTTGCTTAGGGGAGCGGCGAGTACTTCACGCGGCTCGGTGTTGGCATGCCTCCTAGCTCCTAGGACCGATTCCCATGGACTTCTCATCTTCTTTAAAGTCTGGAAGATAAATCAAATACTCCGTACCGCCCGTACGTACTAGGGTTTTTGAAGCTGGATCAATCTGAAATTGGATTGTTTAGGGGAGAAAGGAGAAGCTTGAAATCGATGGGTGATGGATATTGGGCATCTCTTAATATAATAACAAAAGGTTTCTTGGGGCACAAGTTGTCGCCAAAATAGCATGGGGCAATTGTTCCATTGACATGCTTACGATGGAATCTTCTAGACAAAGGTATTATGTCATTGTAACATTTCTCGAAAAAATAATAGCCACACAAATATTATCTAGCATTATTTTTTAATGTTGTTCTATGTCGTTTCAGTTTTTCAAAGTAACCTTGGGCAACTCAGTCATGATATATTTGTTTATGGAGCCATGTGACATTTATTTTAAGATGAACAAATCAGCTAAAAAGTGCAAGTATAAATACCCGATTTGAGACTTGCCACACCAAATCAATTGAGTCCTATTCATCTTTGATCAATTGTTGATTAAAGGTGTCAAACAAGGTCAACGAATCGGTTCGGGTATAAGATGTTGCAAGCACAAACACTCTGAAGCTTCAATTGAATGCATCGGAAAGGTAAAATCATTAATTATTGTTTAAATTAATTCTATGAAGTCATTATTCAATCTTGTATTTAATTTCCTGAATCTAGGTATGGCTTGAAATTTAAGATTTTACCTCTTCGTTCAAAAGGTATCGAAGAGCTCAACAATATCTTTCAAAGAAGATATTAATTTAACATTAAATAATTCTTTTAGCTCATTCTTTAAACTATTTATTTTTAAAGTAAAATGCATATTGTAGAGATTTAACTAATTTAAGTGTTTATAGAAATGCTTTATGGGATTTTTTTGAAAAATCAGATGCAAACAAACCATACACAAGGATAGCCCATTTTTTAAAAGTTGATAGCAGATGTTAGTACAGGTAATTTTATATGGTGTTCACAAAAAGTGTTATTTCAAAAAAGATATGAATTAATTCCACTTTTGGTCCTACGAGTTTTGTGCCAATTCCACCTTTAGTCCACGTCTTTCACTTTGTCCACTTTTGGTACTTGACTAATGTTTTTAACCGTTTGTGGTCCTTTTATGCGATTTTAACCATCAGAAAAAATGCCGGAAGGACCATATATGGGCGAAAACACAATAGACATGTATCAAAAGTGGACAAAATGAAAGATGTGGACTAAATGTGGAATTGACCTAAAATTCGTAGGACCAAAAGTGGAATTTATTCAAAAACATACAATGTACGAGTTTGTTGCACAGAAATAAAGTTAAACATGATCATTTTGAACTAATTTATTTTAGTTATTGCACTTTGGATTTTGTCTAAGATGAGAGATTGTAATATACCTTGAATACACATGCACACAAATAAAAAATGATATTCTTGATGGTTATTCAAAATAAGTTCAATTGCAGATTACTACTAATGTACCTCATGGTTATTGAGAAGAATATATGGTAATTTGTTCTATGATAACCATTGTTAAACAATATATTGCTAGAAGACACCTAGCTGATAAGTATTTTTGTTGTTAAACTTAAAACTTGGAGGCTTGGACCGCACTGCATATTAAAGTTTTTACACCTCTCTATTTCACCTTAAACATTCTTAAAAATTAAAAATGAGGGTTTATGTTGCACAGGAGGAAATTGGACTCCGAATACTTAAACGTGGTGGCTATTGTTTACTTGAAAAAATTAGTATGAAGCAAAATATATGCGATTTACCAAGAATATCCCAACAATAATATTAATAGATTTTGAAAATTATTGACATACCCGGTTTCTAATGACCCATAATTAC